CAGGCAATCAATCGCCGCCGGCTCTATTTAACTCTTTTATAGCATCACAACGACGTGGGACGTTGCGATGGAGGATATGTAAAAGCTGAGAAAATCGCACCTGGTAGTTCATTTGTCAATTTGGTAGGATTTGGAGTGAAGTGATGAATGAACGAATAAAAGCTAAAAATATAGCGGAGAGAGAGAGAGAAAGGGTAGTAGAGTGAGAGAGACGCAGAGACATTAACACCTGGATTAAGCTCTTGGGGCTTGACTTACACGTGCACATAACTGACCACACCAAATTTCAGTTCTTTCTCATTTTAAAAATAATCTTATTGTTACCGTATTTTTAAAAATAATTTTAAAATAAAAATATTTTTATTTTTATTTTTACATAAAAATTAAATTATTTTAAAATGAGTTTTAAATGCATCTTATAATTCTGATTTTATTAGAGTAATTTATTCTCACAATAAATTTAAATAAAAAAAACTTTTCGTCAATAGTTATTTTATAAAATTTAAATTCATAATTAAAATTATTAATTTAAATGCGTGAATCAAATAGACATAAGAGTCTAAAAATCTATTTATTTCATATGTTAAAATTCAAATTATTATAGTATTTTTTTTAACTTAAAAAAAATTAAATTTTAAACGTCAAAATCAAGAATTATTATTTAAGTATAACTTCTGCACCTTAAAAGAAACAATAGCTCTCACCGGCAGCTGACCCGATGGCACTTTCAACAGACGACAATGAGGATATTGGGGTCTCTGTCTCGGACCCCTTGGACTTGGAGTTACCAATTATTACAAAGGTTTGACTTTAGTATCTTTCAACTTCGCCTTTTATTCTTCCAAAACATTCATTTGCAGCAACTTCTATTAGCTCTTTTAAAATGAAGTTGGGACGTGACGTGAACAAAATTTATTATCTTCTGGTAACAGTTTAAGATTGCACTTTGCCAATTAGTTGTTACCCCGGACAAGAAAGTGAACATAGATCATGCCCTTAGTTTGATCAAATTTTCTGTTGAGCGTGGCGCAGCGCTTGTCGTTCTACCGGTGAGTGAGTTCACTTCCCCGTGATGGATTGCAGACAAAATGTTTGATATAAATCATTCAACTGTTTTGATTCCAATCTGATGTACTTTGCTTCTTTACTAAAAAAGGAAATGTGGAACTGTCCTTATTCGTCTGATTACTTTGCTAAACACGCCGAGGACTTCGACAATGAGGACGTCTCGCCCGCGTTTTCCATGTTGTCTGAAGCTGCACTCAGCCATAACATCACGATCATTGGCGGGTCAATGCCTGAATGGAGTAATGGTCGCCTGTATAATACTTGCTGCATCTTTGGACCTGATGGGAAGCTCAAGGCTAGGCATAGGAAATTAAGAACATTTACTTCTTTTCCATTTTAATAAAGCATACAATTTTTGTAAAGATTGGCTGCGTTATGTCAGGCACTAAATTTGACAGCAAGATCCTATTTTGCAATTATGTGACCTCAATTTTAAGATACCGTAACTTTCTCATCTTAAGCCCGATTTGAACGAATATCTGTTGTCGTAAAGCTCGCAAAATGTTCTTTGTATTACACCAAATTCAACCAATTTTCGTCCTTTCCATTTCGTCTCTCTCTATCTTTGTTTTTGGTGATGGGGTATCAAATCTTGTTTTATAGATACATCTTTTTGATATTGAAATTCCGGGAGAGATCTCATTTAAAGAATCACACACTTTTGGTGCTGGTGATGAACCTACGATTGTGGACACAGGTAAAACCTTTCTGACTCCTCATGCTTCAAACACTTTGTAATATGTTTCCTGGTTTTTAAACTTGTGCGTACCATTGTGTATTTATATGCAGATGTTGGTCGTATTGGAATAGGAATTTGCCATGATATACGCTTTCCAGAACTTGCCATGCTGTACAGGGAAAAAGGTTCTTGATTTTGTTAGAATGTTATGGTTATTTGATTCTCTTATGCAGGGATTCGACTCTCGTGTCTTCAAGTTGGTGTCATTTCGTGTCCCTTCAATAATATCATGTCATGTAATTTAAAATATCATTTTAGTTAAATTATCATATGTCATATCAATTAAAACACCGTGTGTAAATTAAAATACTTTAATTGTCGCAGCATGATAATATTGGAGACAAAAAAGAGGACAGGAAAAATGGGACATGTGAGCCGAATCCTTTATGCATATATATGATCATTCACGTAATGAAGTCATTGTTGAATATGCAAAGGTGTTCACTTGATATGCTATCCTGGATCGTTCAACATGGGAACTGGTGAGTTGTTGTGGGAGCTAGAACAAAGAGCAAGGTAAAATATATATTTCTTCTTTACAGTGAAGTTTTTCAAAGCAAAACATGTGGATTATGTCTAATATGTTTTCTGCAATAAAACCTAATTGATTCAGAAGCTTATCATCACAACAACTTTTCATCTGCACTGATCAGTTTCTTCCAATTTTCAGGGCAGTTGATAACCAGGTGCATAAAAAGAAGTCTTCTTTACCATGTTCTGTAAATCTTTTGCAGCTTAAGAGGCATTTCAAACATGTACAGTTTGTGTTGTGATTTTAGATATTTGTAGCTACTTGCTCACCCGCCCGTGATTCTAGTGGCTGTTGCTACACAATATGGGGCCACTCGACCCTTGTTTCACCGGTATTAGAACTTGTGGACTTTCTCATCTCTTGTTTATTTATTTATTTATTTATTTATTTATTTACTTTTTCTACATATAAGACTCATATGAGGGATTGAGGGTAGAATTACAAGTTGATGAAAAACAATTCTAATAGATGAAAAAAATTGATTTGTTTGTACATGGCAGTCCGGTGAGATAATTGTGACATCAGAGCATGAAGAGGCCGTTGTGTTTGCTGAGATTGATTATTCCATAATTCAACTCCAAAGGTGGATTACTATTATTTAATTTTGGAGTAATCTATATGCTGTTCATCTGTTTAACTTTAAAGTTCATGGCAATATGCAGGAAGAGCATCCCAATCAACAAGCAACGTCGAAGAGATGTGTACCAATTTGTCAACAAACGTGAAGGAAAAAGCATTTGAGCGATAAAATAAAAATCACGATCGAAATCTGCCTCGAAAACATTGATGATGACAAGATCTTCGTTTTGTTAAACATTACTAAGTGGGTCTCACTCTATTTCTGTATTGAATTTTTTATGAACTAAACTATATGAAGGACAATAATTTAGAGAGCAATCCATATTTTTTAAAATTAAACGACGTTAAAACTATGCTAAAATGCAAGGGTAGGGCATTCCACCATCTGGATTCACCTTGTCTTCCATCCGTCAACGCCTGCCCTCTCGTACCGGTGATGGTCGAAGGGAAGCAAATCAATGCAAAGGTTGTGCAAACAGGTTTCTTGGGAAACAAGTTTGTGCAGACTGCGCTTGTTGACATGTATGCCAAATGCGGGTTTGTCATGGAAGCAAGATGTCTTCGATAGAGTAAAAGCTGTAGTTGCTTCGACAGCCATGACTTACAGGTATACAAAGAAGGGTATGATGGATGATGCTAGGTGGTTGTATGACAACATGGGACAGCAAACCCTGATATCTTGTGCCACTATGATTGCAGGGTACGCGAATTGGGGCGATGTGGAAGCAGCAAAGGAGTTGTATGACGAAATGGCGGAGAAAAACTCAATCACATGGGTTGCCATGATAGCAGGGTGTGGGAAGTGCGGTAATGTGGCAGGGGCTTGGAGAGTTTTTGATGAGATACCAAAGCCGGATCCTTCGTGTTGGTCAGCAACGGTGGCTTGCTATGCAAAGAATTGGCACGCCAAGGAAGATATTGACATGCACACAAAAATATGAGAGAACATGTGACAGTTTATGGTGGCCATGTGGCGGCAATGGTTGGAGCTATATCTGCTTGTTTGCAGCTTGGAGATGCTGAAATGGCATGCGCCTTAGTGGACTTATGTGGTCCGAGGTGGTTGTGGTCAGTATAATTGGCTTTCTCTGTTCTGCACTTTGATTCTATTTGCTTTACGATGTTCTAAAACGTGATTCTGATATTTTCTTTGTCGAAATTTTTCAGAACGAACAATTTATGTGTCGAATGCACTGATCCACATGCACTCAAAATGCGGCAACATAGATGAGGCATGGAGAGAGTTTAACAGAATGAGAGACAAAGTTATTGTCTTATAGTGCATTGATCGTAACCCTTGCGTACCATGGAATGGCAATGAAAGCTCTGGAACTTTTGTTAAAGATGCAAAAGGAAAATGTAACACCAAACTCGGTTACGTTCATTGGCATCCTAAATGCATGCAGCCATGCAGGATTAGTTGAGGAAGGGTGTCAATGTTTCGAGCTCATGACTCCGAGTTTCTTGCATTAAACCGTTGAAGGAGAACTACACTTGCATGGTTGATCTTCTTGAAAGGGCTAGACTACTTGAAAAGGCAAACGATATCATCAGAGCAAATGGAAAGGTTGCTGATGCGAAGATTTGGAGTTCTTTGTTAGCAGCTTGTAAGGTTCATGGTAACGAAGAATTAGGGGAGGTTGCAGCAAAGCATCTGTTTGAAATAGATCCCGCGAACACTGGAAATGGGATTATTGGTGAGTATTTATGCTGCAACGAGTAAATGGGATTATGCTGAGGGAGTTGCAAAGATGATAGAGTGAAAGGGGGATGAGAATCTCCGGGACGTAGCTGGATTTAGAGTTCTTGTATGAAAGAGGAGACTGGAGGTAGAAGTGAAGGGGTATTGTGTTCCTTGACCAGACAAATATTTATATGAACTTTTATATGGACCTTTATACCAACTGCCAACACATGAAGGCATTTAAACGACGTGCGAGTTCTCTATGAATGGATCTAAAAGACGCGAGAAATTAGTTCACTAGTGCGTAAAGCCTGTTACTGTTACTGGTTAAGATAGGCTGATGGTTTCTTAAGCAACTTCACAAAAGTTCTGCTTGCAGCTACGGAAATTAAAATGTGGAGTCAAAACAATTTGTAGAAATAATATATAATCGTCATATTTCCAACCCGATAAATAGTGTGCTACCTCTGAAGTTTCTAGACCTTCATGATGAAGATTACAACATACGGAGCCAAAAGCCTTATCAATTTTAATGAGCAGACTGATTGAAGCACGAGAGAACCTACAACCAGATTCGTCACATTCTGAATGATGCTTAAATGCAACACAGGCACATCATTTGCATAGCCACTCGACCTCTGACTTGGGATCCCAACGCTGCTTCTCATAAAGAAGCTTCTGTACGGACGACAAGAACCCTTCACAGTATTATGTCTTCAATGGAGCCTTCTTCTCTCTGTCAGCTATTCGAGCAGGAGCTGTTGAATGCGACTTGAACCGACCCCTTCCACCCTCTTCCTTTTCCTGAAGGACGAGAATCAGACATATCAAGTATTCATTTAGATGCACTCTTTTTGCGCAGAAGATGTAAAGCCTCACAAATCTAAAAAGAAGTCGCAAGTTGAAATAGTTCTAAGTTTCTAAAATCAACTTCCCGTCTAGCTGAAGACAAACGTTCAGTAATCTAAACAAACATCTTGAACTACAATGAATATCAGATCTAGAAACTCCAAGAATTTCCTCACTTTCAAGATAATCTATAGCAACCAGGTAAGTGATGCCTGTCTACTTTCAAGTGAACAAGTATACGAAGAAATAAGTTTACCTTTTTCTTAACAATTTGAACCACATCCTCATCTTGAAGCCCGTGACCAAGACCACAATGCTGGGGGATATGCCTGGCACTTGTACCCCAGACTAGCACATATTTAACATCCTTCACTAGACTCCTGTGTATGTGGTTACAGAAGTCTTCCACAGTGCAGCCACCTCTATCCTATAAAGACAAACCAAAAGGAAAGAAATTAAGAGAAGGGAGGGCGAGAATCAGAAATGTTAGGCTTATATAAAAACATGCGGACAATAAGATACTGAGAAAACGCTCCAAAAAGATTGAAACATACAGTAGATAGCACTACAGGATCGCTGAAGTCCGGTTGCTGGCCTTGTGGCTTTGTATAAACTCTAACAAGACCCATTTCTTCCCACATCTTTGCAAGTAGTCTATCAAAATTCAGCTGTTTAAGCAACAAGAATGAACAAAATTAATACGGCTCAAACCATTCCCGCATAACATAATGATAAACGTATATGTCTACAACACACAATCTGCAACGAAGTAAACTGCATTTAGATTTATTATTGACTGCTAACCAAAATCTTTGGAACTTGGACAACTCACTCTTAACAATGTAAGAGTAAAACTAATAACAATTTCTTCCATTATCATTTACTAGTAAAATGAAAAGCCATAGAACTTGCCTTCAGATTGCAGCTAATAACAACAGAACTAGGTTGTCTTGCCAATTTGTCCACGTCATCAATACCAATAACATCTATCTTGTTGTATACATAAATACACTTCATGTATTTACGATTTCCCTCAATGACATCAATAAGATCATCCACTGTCGCGTCCTCACGAAATAGTAGCTGAAAAATAATCAACCATCAAATGAGTTGATTTCCATTAAGACAGCTTGAAAGTAATGCATAAGCGACGTACACTACATATAGAGACGTAATAAACTTAAAGCTAAATATTCCAGCTGGCCCAGTTAGTATAACCTCTTTTTTCCTTTTTTTTTTTTTTTTTAAGCATCATACCTCTGCATTGTGAATTTTGTATTCATGTAAAATTTGATAACAAAGCTTCTCATCCACATGAGTCAAAGGTACAGTGCTGTTGAATGAAATACCCCCAGTTTTTTTCTTTTTGAAATATATCTGCCAAGAAACAATGCCAACCCAGTTAAGATCCCCACACGTTATTTAAACAATCAACAAACTAAAAATCAAAACAAAAAGAAATCCAACTAAATCAGGTTTTCGGATATCATATAGGAGGTCTTCGAAATGATAAACTTACTTGAGGTGGTCTTTTATTTAAACGCAAACCCACAGCTTCCAGCTCCTTTGTTAATATTTGCCGATGACCCTCACTCTGATGCAACAAACAATTTGCAATATAACAAGATTGTTGGGCTAAAACAAACGAAGGAGGAATATACCAAAATAGGAAACAAAAAACATGAATTAGAAGTACCAATAATTGGAAGGTCTAACAAGCAAGACGTCATAAAAATAATGGGTAATTATATAGTAGCAGAAGTACTCTAGATACAAAATATGTACTTACTTTTGAGGCATCGAGGACCATCAGAACAATATCAGAAGACTTGGAAACAGCAATAACCTGGCACAAACACAGTGGCACACATTCTTGAGATTTCCATAAGACTTAACGGTAACCTTCTACAAATCCTATGAATCTCCAGGATGAAAACGCAGATGATGCATTGTCACAAAGCGAAAAAAACGCAGTCACAACTATACCTGCCTTCCACGGCCCTTGCCTTCAGAAGCACCTTCAATGATTCCAGGAAGGTCAAGAAGCTGAATTTTTGTGTCATTGTAGTGTATGATGCCAGGAATACATGTGAGTGTTGTGAACTCATAAGACGCAGCTTCCGAGTGTGTGCCCGTTAACATTGTCAAAAGCGTTGACTTCCCCACACTGTGAACAATAGGTCAAAATTTTGTAAGGGTTTGGATCCCCACACTGAGAGAAACACATAGTAAAGTGAAAATTATAGGTAACTGAACAATTAATATGGGTCACATCAATTAAAAAAAATGGAGGCAAAAAAAAATTCTGAATCATATGAAGAGATGTAATCATGACGGCAAACCTTGGAAAACCTATCAGTGCAACACGTCCATGGCCAAATTTTGTTACTTCAAAACCTTCTCCTCCTCCGCTAGAACCCTTAATTTATACAACAGGAAACAAATCAACAAAAACATATTTAGGAAAGCTTACTTGGAAATTGGAAAACTATAAGAACCTTTCAAGAAAAGTAAAGCAATTTGTTTTCTAGTCACCCATATATATATATATATATATATATATATATATTATACACACACACATAGATATAGAGAAGAGAGAGAGAGAGAGAGAGATCAAAAAAAAAAAAAAGGTAAGCCCATGCCTTTGGAGGCTCCAGTAATTGAGTCCTCAGCTTTGCTATCTTTGCCTTGAGCTGACCAAGATGATACTCTGCAATTTCCAATTTTCGATTATCATAATAATATATAGCTCAAATCAATAATGATGACTACTTTACTGTGAATTACAAAAGCAATTGATCAGAAGACGATAACCTGTTGCTTTGTTCTTCTGAGTCCGAGCCATCTCGGCCTCAATTTCCTTGATCTTTTCTATGATCCCCATTTTTCCTTAATTTTCAGCTGCTCTAACAAGAAAAGAAGCGAAAATAGATTAGTTCGTCAAAGAATTCCAGAAATTTCTCGGGAACCAAACAAATGGTTGAAAGAAAATATGCGGGTGGGATTTGATGAGAATTGGAGTTGCAGATTTAGATGAATCACTCTCACCGTGACTGAGAGTGAGTTGGCGATGATCGCCGGAGCTGGAAGCTGGGAGAGGGATGAGAGCAGGGGAGGAGTTTAGGGCTCTGAAGAGTCGGAATCTGAAGTCTGGACTGAATTTAAGGGCCCATGGTCATGGATCCAGGACTGGGCTAGGCTTAGAGCTAGATGCATTTGAATTTGGGCCTGATGGGCTAGGCCTGGTTCATCTATAAGTGGAAGCAGAATAAGACGATTAAAAGCAAAAAAATTTACCCCTTTTAAAAAAACTAAAATTTTAGAATATTTTAGAGAGAGTTCAAATCATTATAATAATTAGTACATAATTTTAGAATATTTTAATAGTGAATGAAATATTTACATACTAAACTGCTATTTACTTCAACTAATTATAAAATCTGTTATTTAATTTAATTTTAAAATCTTCTATTTACTACAATTTCCCTTTAAAGAAACTAAAAATTTAGAATATTTTAGAGAGTTCAAATCATTATAATAATTACAACATAATTTTCTAATATAAACGTTTATTTTAGAGATCTATGAGAATTTGTTAATTTAAGGATATATACGTTTTCTTTTCCTAAGAATTGTATAAATTATAAATACACAAGGCAAATTTAAAATCATTAAGAAAAGGAGATATGTGATTGCATGCATCGTTTAGCAATAATTTCACACCCGATCCCACTATTTAAAGTTCAATTTCTCAACCCTAAATTAGGGGGGAAAAGTACAAGAAGATATTTGGATGGATCAATTTTAGAACTGAATTAAAGTTCCCGCGACCAGCTTTTTTTTTTCTTTTTAAAATCAAAATTTTATTAAAAATGTGTTTTTGGAACTATTACACCTATTCCCTACGTTTTAACATGTTATGAAACTTGAGGAATATTGCAGCATATCTAAAGCATACGAAAATGCACAAATTCATATATAGTACACAAGAAACTTATCCCATTTTTTTTTAGAAAAAAATATCTCTTGTATTTAAGCCAAATGTCACTATTCACTATGTGTTCTAAAAAATGCAAAAACCCAAAAATATCATTGTAATTTGCTAAGGACAAATTTTATTCCATTAAATCATTTTTGTTAAAATTTTATTGTGAAAAAACTAATCCAACCTCTTCGGGGGAGGTCTTGCTGGCATGCTCTAAGGCTAAAGTTTTAGAATAATAATAATTAAGAAAGAACCTCTAAATTCAACTTTCTTTTTAATTTGTTGAGACGTTCTCCGGTAAGCCTATCAATTTATAACTATTAAATCTGATCAAAATCAGATCAAATTTAAAAAGTACGCAGAATACTAAAATACCATAAAAACTCAAATTACGCCACCAATGACATCTGCCAAACTATGTCACTGACTCACTAATATAATTTGTCCGCCAAATTTCAATACACACCACTCAGTCCCTCTGAAAACGTTTGCGAATTCAACTCCATCAGCTTATTCTTTCTCAGTGGCAACAGTGCTCAGCCGTCCACGACCCCTGAGGCTGCACCGTCACCAAATGGCGCTTAGGCGCCCCGGAGCATAACCAGTTGAGCCTTTGACGTCTCCTGTTGTTATACTTGCACTTGATGTCGGTCTTATTTCACAAAAGTTTTCAGACGGCCGAGAGAGAGGGAGGGAGGGAGGGAGAGAGAGAGAGAGAGAGAGAGAGACCCAGGTCGGAGAGCAGTGGGGTCGCCAGAGATGGGGTAAAGAGTGCTCACATACCAGGGTGAGGAAAGCGGTCGCTGGTCAAAGGGTTGTTAGGCTTTGATATTCATAATAATATATAGATTTTAAATGTGGTTTATTCTTTTAACTATAAATTAAAGTTTATATATTGAAATTAATTTTTAATGTTATAAACAGCCAGGTACTTGGTAGAATCGGCTGAGAAAAATATTTGAGAAAGCGTCTCCTAAACTCGATGCGTACAACCTGCAATCCATACAAAGCATCAGCATAACATTCTGATCATCAGCGGTTACAATTTGATATCTTTATTTTCCTATTTAGACCGTTAAAATGGCAGTTATTTACAATGTTACAAGTACCCCGACCGTGTCTCATGCATACTTCTCCCACCAACACCTCCCATGTTTGAGCCAAGATTTGGAGGAACCTGAGAGTGCATCTCCGCAAGCTCCCTCACTCGCAACAAAATCGGGGCTGGGATGGGGACCGAAGCATGTTTCCGAGAATTCATCTGCATTATTACTCATAGAACAAAAAGAAAAAGTTACATTTAAGAACAGAAAAGGCAAATCATTAATAAAGCAAAGTGATTTAAGAAGCTTGGCCAAGATAAATGAGGTTTTGTTTTTTTGACGCCACCATTAAAGTAAAACATTCACAAATATCTGGAAGTGGCCAAGATTCTGGAAATAGCCTAACAGGTTGAAATCGAAGGGGTAAAACTCATTCACATGTGCATTTTATCAGCAAATTATTGGTCATGGCTAATGGTTGTAGCACCAATTAAAAGTTTGAAAAATTGTGAAGATAAGGTTAAGCTTCAACTCACAAGAGACTAGAGCATGTGCCGACTAGGAAGTTGGGTGCTTCACAAATAGAGAAACCCGCTGAAATTCAGGAAAAAGAAAGGAAAATAAGGTAACTTATACTTACGCCCTCATCAGGAGGTGTCTGTGCCAAGCTAGCTTTCAGCAGGTTCCTCCACTTGTCCTACAAAAGAAAATAAGATTTAAGCCCACTCATCCTCAATACAATCCCGAAGCATAATCAACTTCTAATTAGGTCGTAATACAAACTGATGAGAAGACGCACCTTGAGGTCAACTGAAGTGCGGTAGGAATAGGATGCAAAGGAAAGCCTTTTGATCTCAGACCACCTCCCAGCGCCGCATTTGGATACACCTTCGACCAGTTTCATAACCTCAACAAGAGTCCAAGCTCTATGATGTTTCCTTCTCATTCCACCTTTTGCAGTACGAACAGTTGCTGTATTATCATCTGAAGTGTCTTCAGATGAATCTGTGTGTTTTAGACCCAAATTCTTCCCCACTTGAACTTTGCCCGTCGCTGAACTTTGCTTATCTTTCACTGCCTCAGAGGTGAGCTACATAAGAGAAAAAGCATCAGCATATACAACATATCTCGGTAATGCAAATATCTCTCGTGTATGGAAGACAGAGAACCACAAAAGCAAGATCCTATTGCAGACATTAATACTATATTGATTATAAGCAGGTATGCCAGGAGCGTTGTGAATATGAAAGTAAATATGATTTCAGCGATAGCCTAGCATAAGTATAGAAGATATTGATTCAACTAATTGGAATGTAGTCCCGCTTAATCACCCAAAAAAACGAAGAAACTAATTGGAATGTAGTCAAACTAGAGTACAGAGAGATAGAGAACAAAGTTATGGAGTATGGCATCTAGGAGAGTAATGTTTCTCCCAGTCTCTTCTTTTTGCCCCTCCTTTGCAGGAATAAAGCCCTTGTTTACATAAGAATTATAGTCATCAGTGTATCAATCAAACTGACAAAAAAGAAATTATTACATGTCATATGCAAAGTTGCTCTCACCAGCGGCTCAGTCGTTTCAGAAGCAGATCTGGACTTCGAGACTTTATCTGTACACTCACTATTCGCTAAAGAACTAGGCACTGCAAGGACCTTCACGACTTCAGCTGCCATGCCCAAACTACTCGGATGGAATTTCTATTAAATTGCAGTTGACCAATACCAACTTCAGTTCTTTTGTCACCAGAACAATGTCTAGCACTACTTGAATTTGATACCAAATGATGAAACAAAATGAAATTATGGAAAGAGCGTATACAAAGTTTACAATAACAGCCTATTCTAACCATACACAAATCGTAGAGTGCAGGGGGAAAATAAACTCTGCAGATATACAAGTATCCTGGCTCAAGTTTACAGAGCACTGAGATGGGCTTTTAACAATATAGAATATAATCGCCCGAATTTCAAAATTCAGATATGCCCCCGAGTTTCATGAAGCTGGTATATTTGTTACCAAGAAATCCTTATTTCCATTCAATTCTTTCTTACATCCTATAATTGTAACATCAATATGCAATAATCATTCTTTGCCAGACTTTTTGGTCCGACACTTAAGATGCAAAATGTTCTGTGTACTAAAAGCAACAAATGAATAATTAAGCCACAAGAGAATTGCACGTACCATAAGGGCCTTTATATTTTTCCTTGGACGGCTTCTTCGGACCCGAGAAACACAAGGAACCTCAATCCCAGACCCACCGAGAGAGTCCAACCGCGTCAACATGATTCTCTCATTTAAGGAAACACTTTTTATAGGCCTGAGACAAAATTTTTGGGATGTCTGTCCACATCCAATATTTTTGACTGAATTATGCACTTTTGGGCTACAATCTCTGGTTTCAGCTTCAGAAAGTTCTTCAATGTATCTCCTTGTGGGCTTCCGAACTCGTTTGGCAGCTCTCTCTTCTGTGTGAAGATCGTCACTTCCACAATCAAGTTCTGCATTGTCATGGAACCTCTCGCCTAAAGCAATTTTATGATCTTCCCTTTGGGTACTGTGGTTAGTTGGTGAATTCTTGGGGCTGACAAGTACTGCTTCAACTCTTGAATCCTCGGTGAATGCAGCATTAGTATTCTTACAGTTTTCTTCATTTCCCTTATTCACCAATTTGTTATCTTTAATTGTGAAAGTGGTGGTAGCAACATCACAAGAGTTGGTCAATCCCATTGCAATCCTCCTCTTAAGCCACAACTTATCTTTGACAGTAGTTTCCCGCCCAAAAGTTGCCCTGAAGAATTCATGAAGCTCTCTAATTGATAGGTTGTCCAAGCATATTTCCTCCTCTAACTTTGAAAAATCGGGCTTTGAATTATTGCAGACAGCAGAAGTTGATGGTCCACTTTCCGCTTGTCCAGATGGAGGTTTATAGAACTCCCCAATGCTCTCAGACAAATCGTTACAGTGGTCATTTACTCTCGGTGTTGACGAAGGAACAGTTTCCTGCATAGGAATTTCAAATTGGAGCTTCTCCTCGACAGCAGGCGATTCATAATGCTGATCAGCACATTTGCTGTCTACATTCATACAAGCATCAGAATTATCAGGAGATCCACAAGAAATGCTAAGCCCCTCTTCCTCTTTGACCTTTTGTGACACCTCCTCAATATTCTACATGATATTTTCAGAGGTCAAGACGGATCCAACAGAATCAATAACTCCATAAGATATATTTCCGAAATACAAGCAGACAAAAATAAAATAAAACAATATGTGTGTGTGTGTGTGTATTATAATCAGGATAAGTGAACTAAATGAACCACATGGGAAAGAAAACTACTCTTGAGATGAACACAATAACGGACACCAGCATCAATAGAGTACCTTAACTAAATAACATCTATCATCGTATAAAACCTTTTTTAAAAGTGCACTCTTTCTAATAGTATAGCTCGGTGGAATTGAGTAGCAGCTAAACAAGAATAGTTCACACTGCAATCATCCAATTTATTTTGAAGCACAAGCAGATTCCACATTTAAACTTAAGAATAAAAAAGAAGAAGAAGAAGCAAACCAATACCTCAAATTCTGAAGTTAATTTTTCTGCATGAGCTTCTACGTTCTCAGAATGTGACAAACCTAGCATATATTGTTCAATTAGACATGAATACAAGCCTTCTAGTTCATTAAATCAAAATAATACACCACGCAAAACAAAAGGACAATGAAAAATACTTTAAAGTCTGCCAAAGCCACAATTCTTAAAATCTTCTCAAATCCTATCTATGCAATACCTTCTGAGACTTCCAACTGAAGCTTCCCAGAGTCGGACCCTTCGTTGGATGTGCAGTCTGCAGTCTTCCCAATGTCCGCAACATCAATCATTTCTGTCTTGTCATCAACAAGAAAATCCTCAACCTCCATTACTTCGTCATCTGTTGCAGGCACGAATCTCCCATCACCATCAACCTGGACAACACATAAGCCACCCCAAGTCTAACACGTTAAAAAGTGACGAAATAAGAAGCAATCATCTCATGATGCTTCCATAACAAACAGAAGTGTGATTTAAAATTATTAAATTAATTCACAGAGGTTCTATTACAGTTAATCCCGAGCGCCCGATTGCAACACAGCAACAGCAAACACCAAAACCAATTCACTAATCAAATAATGCTGGCTATTCCCAGTTAATCAACAAGTTAAATGTGATCATAGAAAGTTCATCTAAATTATTAAATTCACATTTAGTCTACACCCTATATTTGCATAACTCATCTAAATCGTGATCATACTAAGAATAATGCTAAAGGCTCTAACTCAAATGTCATTTGCCAATAATAGTTTAACAAGTCAGCTGGCATATCATTTGGTATCCGAAATTGGAACATTGCCCTTATTCTAAATCAACATTTTCATGGCCCTTGAGAAAAGTAGTGTCACTGTCACAGTTTGTAAACGACGCCACAGGAACAGCAAAAGTAACAACGGTTTCTACAAAATCAAGAAGACATAAAGATTAAGAAAATGTACCCGAACGAGCTTGTATACAACTGGATCAGCAATATATTTTGGGGAAGATAAACAGGAGCTACTCTTCTCAACCCCACACTCCTCAAACTTCCCTTCATCGCTATTATTGTCAACTCCAACCACTGTTTCCATGGAAAATCCACCACAAGCAACTCAAATACACAAACTGTAACCCCCACAAGGATAAAGAAAAAGAAACGATAAATGAAGTTATTTCCTTTTCTTGTCAAGTGAATTTAGAACTTAGAAATACAGGCTACTGAAACAATTATACCAAAATATCACCCAAAGAAAAAAAATGCAAAACCAGAAAGTAATTGAATACAGGTAAATTCTTTTCTTAATTAAACTAAGCATATCTAATAAATGATGCTGAAGCTCATATAGTACAATTCCAAAAACATGAACAAAATTTGAACCAGATAAAATTCAGTACTCTCAATCAATTGTATCTTTATTTAAGCCATATATTTATCCACAAATTAAAATTAAAAAAAAATTAGCCGATGGAAACAAAAAAACCAAGTATTATATTCAAAACTAAATTGTCTCTAAAAGCAACGAAAGTCGAGGATAACCATGACCGAAATAGAAATTGCTCAAGAAAACTATCATTATATTGAAAAATTAAGAGCAAATGAAGCGAAATTACTCTCAAATGCTGGAAATTGGAATTTAAACGAACTATCACAAAAACCCAAAAAAAAAAAAAGTATTGACCGAAAACTCAGCAGCAAGGAGAAATTAAAGAGCTGGGCTGACCATAGGACTGGTGTGAGTGGTGAGCGAGTGGGAATCGCAATACAAGAACCGTGTCGGAGCGTCCGAGACTGAGTTGGGGAAACCGAGTCGCGTAGTAGAAAGGAAGAAGCTTTTGAGGCACGAAAGCAGAAATCTTAATAGAAGAAACGGATTGATGTGAGCGTGCGAGACTCTGCACTGCAAAAACGTAATTTTGGCTCGCTGTTTTAGTACGCTGTGTTTGCATTTCGCAATCTTTACAGTTTCGGACGCGGAATTTGCTATAAACTAGGTTGAATAAAGTGGCGTGAAGTCCGGTCCGTAGGTAATACTTCGACTCTGGACGTTTCTTTCTTTCTTTTTTTTTTTTTTTTCTTTAAATAAATAATTGAGAATGTTGTTTACGTTTTTCTTTTTCCTTCTTAGAGCTTTTTCTTATTTCTTAAATAATAAATCTGGTCTTAATCACCTTAACTTAAGAACATATACATATAATTGACAGTATTGGAGTATTTTTTAACCTACTGTAGAACTTTTTTTCCTGACTCGTTGGCTTTACAAATTACTAAAAATTTAAATCGATAAAATAATCCTCTTTAACGACCCCCTTCACTGATCCTATTCAAAGGGTCTATAAGAATTGGCTCGGAACTTTTTCAGAAATAAGACCCCGTTCTTTTCATTGATTCGAATTTAAAATTTAAATTTTATTACAGTAAAAAATTCTCAAAAACAGTCAGATTTAACTTTTTTATTACAGTAAAAAATTCTCACACAACATCACATCTCAACTCGAATTAAAAACTCAAATTAACGAACCGCACGGACGTAATAAATAAGAATTGGCTCAGAGTGCAAACCCAATACCCCATTTCCCCAACGTAAATAAGTGAAAGATTAGTTTGGGCAGTGTCTTCCGAAATCAAAGAAGACATTTTTGGCATCACTTCCAACTTCCATAATAAAACTGAAAACAAACATCTCGTTTTCTTCGTTTACAGTGGAGGAAAAAGAGGCACGCAGCGACGGAGCACCAGGAGGAGCTGGACAAATGTGGCGTGCAGAGTTACAATACCAAATAGAAACACATACCAAACACAAACAGGCTCATCGACTCGCATCATGATATCGCCAGTGGCCTTCTCCATCGACTCACCAAAAGACAAACAAAACAGAACAAGAACTCATCTCCTTGAGGGAAAAAAATGACTTTGCTCATGACAAGGTATTCATTGCCCATCAAGAGCATAATAGACAAAACTACATAAGGTCACCACTTTAGCTCCTTGCAACTAAATAAAGCAAATACTAAATCCACATCCTTAACTCAAAAAAAAAAAAAAAAAAAAAAAAAAAAAAAAAAAAGAAAAAGAAAATGCCTATAAGCGGTCTTAAACTTGATCCTTGACCTAAACACTGCAAGCTAAAAGATAAAAGGAGAAGCTAATCTATGCAGCAACTTCTGGTACATCTGCCGCCACAAACGAGGGCCTCAAGTACTCGTCTTCATCCTTGGGTGGGTGGATTGTAACGACATCCGGTAGAGGCGTTGTGGGGCCTTGCTTGCCCTTGGGGTCCCAGTCAAGCATGATCTTGACTTTGATTCCAAGAACACCCTGCAAGTGCAAATGGTAATAGACATATTAATTAACATAAATAACAGAAAGACATATGGTATCTCTTGTAGTGCCTTCCATTTTGAATAAGTGGTAAAATAGGCTCACCTGTCTAAGAAGCACGTGCCTCACAGCAGAGTCAATATATTCTTTAACGGGCTGACCGGAGGATATCATATATCCATCCTTAAACTTCATGGATTTTGCACGCTGGGCCCTGAGCTTACCACTAACAATAACCTGCATGTCATAAAATGGAAATTCTTAGAGAACTGTAAGAAAATAAGGCAGCACCAAAGATATGTGGATCCATGTAAACGCACCTCACATCCTTTTGCTCCACTCTCCATGACAAACCTAAGGACGCCATAGCAAGCCCTGGAAACCAAAAGTTCACAGAAAAACAATTAAATACAAAAAGATATTAGTGCCAGATGGAAAGATAACAGTTGCAGTGTATAAACCTACACGAACATATTCGTTTAAATTTTAAGGAGGTATTCACAATTATGAGTTTGAAGAATGTAATTAATAAAATCAAATAACGAAGTTACTATATACTATTAGTCTATTACAGATGTGAGCCCACAAAAAAAATACAGTAACATTATTGTTACAGCTCATTTCAGATAAAAATAACAGTTTAGTTGTCCAACCATTTCAACAAATACTTGTGCAAAAGGCATGCTTCCTCTGGATAATCATAGAGATGTAACGGAATGTTGGAGTTCCCGAACTCTTAGAACTATTAAGCAGTTCAAAGTAACTAACAAAACTCCAAATCGTCAATATAAGCATTCGTACAGATCCCCTAAACCCATAATAGTCGGGAAAGGGAGAAGTAGTAAGAATGCTAGCATTAAGTGTCGTATTAAGGTGGAACAGTCCTCATGAATACCTTAATTAAATTGCCATTACGTAATTATCTACATCTTCAAAATACATACTAAAAGTAACGATTCACCGTATTCTTATGTCTGAAGGCTACGGAAGAAATATCAAGGTTTTGCCATTACATTGTCCGTATAAACATGCACCTCGACTATCTCTACATGTATATGATTGCGCAAGTGTGCAAAAAAAAAAAAAAAGGGTGCCCTAAAGTTCATAGCGATGCCAGAAATCAAGACCACAATAAAGTAAATTACTACAAGCACATAAAAGGAAACATTTCTGATTAAGTTTCCAGGCATACCTGCGGACAGCAAGCCCTCCAAGAAGTTTGTAACGCAGAGACTCCGCCTGGGCAATGGCGCAAAGCCCTCGGTTGTTGACCTTCTCTGCATAAAGCTCAACACTGTTCTCTGGAAACTTGAAACGTTTCTGAACAACAGATGTCAGTTCCCTAATTCTTCTTCCCTTCTCACCTAGCCCACAAAACAAACTATAATTACGAAGGAAATAAACCTTTATTCCAATTTCCAGCCTAAGAAGAATATATATATATATATATATAACAGCTGAAAGATACCAAAAGAAAAACACTTGATTTAGCATCCAAATTCACGGAATCCAATTGAATAACAGCGACCGAACGCAATTTCAAGTTAATCTTTACACGAAAATTGAAATTGGAGTTTCAGGAACTTACCGAGAACGTTCTGAGTACGAGTGGCCCTGATGATGATCTCCGTCCTCATAGGCGTAACCCTAACTTCGACGCCGGAGTAGCCATCTTCAGCCAGCTCTCTGGTCAAGACCTCGTTCAGTTCGGCGAAGAACACTCCGTCAGCGACGAACTGCGACAAAAAAAAAAAGAATAAAAAAATCAAAACAAGATTGATAGTATAGGGTGTTTGTTTGGTTGCTCGGAAAGTAAAGAGAAAATAGGTGATTCACCTTTCGCTTTTTGCTCATTTGAGTAGCCATGGTTGGTAGGACTTCTGCGATGCGATTGGAAATTGGATTCAGAAAAGGCCTGCCGCTCTTCGCGTGATGAACTTGTGGGAGAAGGGAACCCTAGAACACTGATAAGAGTGATGAGATATAGGAGGGAGATGATCCGACGGTGATGAGTCCCGATTGACGGCTGAGATTAAACGTTTTGTTGTGTCTCGTATGCATACGAAACGTGAAGCGTGAAGTGTGGTGTGGGTGTTAATTGGGTTTGGGCCTGCACTACTCGGGGAGACCAGAGTTGGCCCAGTCGTTTTGGGAGTTATACGACCTGTCGTTTCATATGAGGTTTGGAAAATTATGTTGTTTGTTACTGCTTAGACCTTAGACGAGAAACAACATGTCGTTTTTACAAGTGATACGACATAAAACTCTTAACGACATATTGTTTATGGTGAGTTTCATTTAATTGCTTGGACGTTAAAGGTAATGTTGTTTATTAGTGAAACATATAAATAACAAACGACATGTCATTTTGAACTAGATTTCTCCAAATACTTTTACGAAATAAATAAACAGATACTAGCTTAAATTTCAATTTTTGTGTACTCCATGTGAGTTGTTATCTTTTTTATTAATAAATGTAATCTTTTATTATTAATTAACGTGACTATATTTTAAATATTCATAAATATAAAAATAACAACTCACGTATTATGTATAAAAATTGAGATTTGAGTTGATATCTTAGCGTTATTCAACATTAATTATTTCATTTAAAATAAAGGAGTAGGACATTATTGTAATAATTAATTTTTAAAATTGAAGCAAATGCACCAAATTTTATCTTATCCTCTATGGTGGGAACCAAACTGAAATAACGGTTGGACGAGGGAAACCGAGCATGCGGTCCAATGTCCATGGCGGTTTTTCTTCCTTCAACACTCTCTCCACCTCCCTCTCTTCTCACCTTTCCTGATCACACCTCATATTCCCGGCCACTCTACTCCAACTCTCCCGCCATCTTCACCATTAAAAAGCGTCTTCTCTTTCGTTGCTCGGCAAAGAAGAAAATCAGCTTCACGGACCAAATTCTTGATTACATCGAAGGTATAGACTATATTCTCTCCACTTTCATCTCTTTATATTGTATCGAAACGATTTTCCTGGCTTTTGAAGCTTTTTACAAGTTGCATATATTATAATTTATCGGTATTTATATATATATATGATCCTAATGTTTCTTTATGTTTCCAGGGGGTCCCAAGTTGAGGAGATGGTATGGGGCACCCGATCTCCTTCCTAAAGACGGGCCCACTGTTGAGGACGAAGACGAAGATTCCGGTAAATCTGACATAGCAATTTTTGATTTGTTAATCTTAATTATTGTTTTTGTGTGTCTTTTAGTGATTTTTGAAGTCATTTTTGACAATGCATATGAAGATGAAATCAGGGATGCAGTTTTGGTAACTGACGGAGATAGCGACATTGTTCAGGTGTGTGTTTGTGATTTTTTTTTTTTTTTTCCTTTTGGACTATTTAATATTGATCAAGATTGGGTTATAGAGGGTAAATGCTTAGGCTTGTGATATTTAGTTTGTGTAGATGGTTATATTGTCGTTGATTGTCAAAAGATCCAAAATTAAAGCCTTGGTCAAGGATAAACGGGCTGCACTTGAAGCCTTTGGAACATATGTGGATGTGAGTGATATTACACACGTTTCTTATTCATTTTATATTCCTTTAACAGAAGTCTTTTTGGATAAATTTTTTTTTTCACGGTTTTGGTGTTATGTTTGAAGTCATTGGCAGGAGATACAACGGATAGACCATTTTTAAAAAGAGCTTTAAGAGGAGTTCGGACCATAATCTGCCCAAATGTAAGTGTGTGTGACTCAAAAAAAAAAAAAACAAGATTAAAGTGTGTGTTTGGAACCGTTTTTAGAAACGGTTTTCACGTATTTTGAGAAGTAAAAAATGAAAATAAAAATGAAACGATGTTTGTGTAACAAATGTTTTGAAAATGAAAATAGTGATAATGATTTTTGTGAATAAATTATAAAACAATTAAAAGTTATTTTTACTATTCTGTTTTTATTTTTTAATACTTATCAACAATATTATAATATCTTAATTAATAAACACGATTTTACTTTTTTATTATACTCAAAATAATTTTTTAAAAAATCAATCAAACGTAATTTCAGAATTGGTCGCAAAATAATTCTTAAAACAATCTCATTTTTACCTTTTATTAAAAATAAAATCATTTTAAAATTAATTCTAAACGCACCTAAAATGTCACCTTCTTTGAAACTCAAAAAGGGATGAGTGGCTCCATTGGTTATTTTCAGGAAGGCTTTTTATCTAATGCTGGAAGCTTGAAAGGGATACAACATGTAATTCTCTTATCGCAGGTACCACTCTACATCTCTACCTGCCCATCTATCTTTGTGTCTGATTTTATGGTTGTCATATGGAGGGGAGAGAGTGTTGGGTGTGCCGAGGGAGCTTAATTATCACTATAACACAGAGTTAGCGCACGGATCGAATAGACAACTCATGTATTAGAGAGAGTTTCGGTTTTGAGAAATTAAACTTCGTTCGTTTCATCGAATTGAGTTTTTAATTTTAATTTTATTACAGTTAAAACCTCTCACAAAAATTCACATCTAACTTTTTCTGATATAGTAAAAATCTTTCATATAAAATTACATCTCAATTTAAATTGAAAATTCGAATCAACGAACTGAACCATAGAAGAGAAGTGAGGTGTGTGATTCTCTCGAAACCTTCTTCTTCACCGTAATGTAAAACACGTGTCAGATGAAATTGAATTATCGCTCTCGTTAATGAAGTATTGGAGTGTTCAATGCTTAACAGAGAGACTTTATGAGTTCAGAAGGAAAATGTATGCTATTGTGGTTTAATTAGGTCGCAGTTGTCTGTTTTTAAAGCAGCCGGTGGCATTCAAGCTCTCATGAAAGGCAATGCAGTAAAAAGGGCTGAGAAAGAGGAGTCAACACTGGTGGCATCTGGAATACCTTACACCATCATCAGGGCTGGCTTGTTACGAAACACTCCAGGTGGAAATCGAGGCTTTAGCTTTGCAGAGGTACGTTGGTTCAATGTTTTAACTTCTAGTCTTTTAATAATAAAGGAAAAAATAAATATTAGTAACCTGTTTAAAAGTGCTTTTAAAATAAAAATTAGGGAGTTTTTCCGGTTGGACCTCTCTATTGGTCGGATCTCTCTACTAGTCAAAATCACTTTAAATTAAAAAAATATGTAAAATAAATAATTTTTAATACAGATCCGACGACTGAAAGTAAGAAACTAATGATAGTTCATTTTTTCTAATCCTACCACAAAAACTCCCTAAAATTTAAAGAAAACAAAAGAAGAAATTGTTTTCAGTAGAACGTTCTACCGGTAGGACCAGTTTTCTAACCGTTGAATCTGGTAAAAATTAAATGGGATTGAACAAGTATGCAGAACATACAATTTCTGATGCGATTTGACGGTTGAAAACGGCTGAAACAAATAAAATTACCGGTAGTTTTATTTTTCTGGTCTCACGGGAGAAACTCTAAAAAAAACACAAAAACCAAAAAAATATCAAGAGCTTTATGATTGAGCGCTTATTATACTGCATTTTCATGTTCATATCAGGGCAGTGCAGCAAAAGGAAGTCTTAGCAAGGAGGATGCTGCCCTTATTTGTGTGGAAGCAGTTGATGCAGTCCCTCAAACTGGATTCTCATTTGAGGTATACAGATTTTTATCACTTCAATAGAAAAGTTTCAACTAGTTATGGTCTCTATTAAAGACATTTTATGATGATTCTTGAGTATGCAACAAAAAATTACATCAATAAATTGATGGATAAATCATATTACAAAATGAACATGCTTGATAGCTTATTTATTACGACAGACATGAAACAAGTAGCTATTAGTTTAGTATCCATGCTATAATTTTATTTTCTTCATAAAATTGTTAAAGATATTAACGGTTCTGTATGAAATAGGTGGTTAATGGAGAAGAGAAGGTTTCAGATTGGAAAGAATGTTTGGCCAGGTTGATGGAAAAAACAGGACAGAAACCTCAGTGACAATTTGACCAATTTGGTTCATTTTTGCCCTTTTCTCAATTTATTTAGTGATATTTAAGTTGAAACATGTTGCTTTTAAATCATTAAAAAAAGATAGATTTTTTGGTACACATAGCGTACCGGTAAATTATGTATTTTTAACTGTTAAATCTGCGTATTTTTTAATTTTTACGTGATTTTATACAAATCTGACGGATAAAAAACCTGACCTACTATTGACGTGCCGGAGAAGATCCCTAAAAAAAATCATAGAATTTTCTCCTCTTATTTTTGTATATTTAGCGTGTATATGCTTCATAAGTTCATATGCATGCTTTTTCATGTACATTCTTTGCGTTTAGTTAGTGTATTCATGTCATGATTTGAATTATTTTTCATGATTCGTTATAATATTTTCTCTTATAAAAAATACACGTAAATAAAAAATAATTTATAATTATGATTTTAAATTTATGAATTAAACGTCTACCGATTTATAACTTGAAGATCAAAGGGGTCAAACAGAGAATGATTATGAGGGGCCTCGTCTACAAGCAACCACACTACCACCGGATCTAATTCATTAAACAAATCAAATGGAAAAGACAAATTATAACAAAAAAAAAAAAAAAAAAACGGACAAAAAAAATAAAAAAAAAAAAAAAAAAAAAAAGAACGGACAAAAAAAATGAAAATAAATAAAAAAATAGACCACCTCTCATGGTACGAACGGCATTTTTATTTTTATTTTTTTTACAATTATTGTTCGATTTGATTTCACCACCAAATGGGGAGAGAATTCTTTATTCAGACCAAATCTTATCTTCCATCCTTTTTTTCAAAAGCCCGTGAGATTCCACAACTAAGGCCATTGTCTCCTCAATACATCTAATCCCCATAACAATGCGTGTTAAATAAAAAAAGTTTCGCTTCTCGTCATCATCATCATCATCTATTGGACAAAAAGTCCAATTATACAAGTGAGATCGGGAAAAGTACAACTTTTTCTAATCTGTTATGGTTTTCATAATACCGTGCTTGCCTCACACTAATCAATCGCCTTAGAATTCGTTCAAATGTTGAAATTTTGAGTTAAGGCTTTAACTTGAATTTAGGCTTTACTTTTCCTTTCTTTTAAGGTACTATCTTTTAAGGTCCTTTCTTTTAAGGTATATTAAAGTGAAATATATATTTATATGTATAATAGACAATTTTTTATATAAAATTAACTGTTGAAAAACAGAGACTTACTAATAATTTTTTACAGAAATCTCAAATATACTTTGATGAGTAAGCGTAAGCAAGAGAAGTTTGAAGATGGAAGGAGATATTATCAGTGTTGCAACACAATTACTAAAAAGGTAAGTAGCCCCAGGGAAAATGACATGAAAACTACAAATCAACAAGTGTGGTTAGAAATTTTTGGCAAAGTCATCACGGAATGTAACATTCAAACAATGGAGAAATCGATGAAACTCAATCTAGGTCCATAATATGACAGCAGTTCATTTCATTGACCTGACTTCCTTCTAATCTTCATCAACACTCACCAACAACTAAAAATTATAAATTGAGACGTCGTTCATTTTATCGATTTAAATTTTCAGTTTTAAATTTTTACAGTTAAAAACTCTAAAAAAATGTCATATCTAACTTTTTATATTAAAATTAAAAATTCTTTAAAAATATTACATGTCCAAAAAAAAAATATCTCCACATAAATCATGAAACTTCTGGCACAAACTAGAAGGGAAAAAAATAAATACGTGGTTATCAGGAAATGCGTAAAGAATAAACGAAATAAAAGCTAATGGGTCCACAAATAAAAGAGCAATCGTCCAATCAAAACGTCAGTTGGTTTATTTGTCCTTGTGTATGTGTGTGAGAAAAAAGAGAGAGAGAGAGAGAGAACAAGCCCATATATGCTAAAAGGGAAAATTCAATATTAACACCAGAGAATCAATCACAAAGTAGATAAAATCAATCAAAAGATGAGTAAAGTTAAACTAGTTCCATCCCAAAAATAATATCAATCGTTGGAATCTTGTCCTATTGTTAGATTATATTATCTTTCTGTCTCTTGAAGCAATAGTGCTTTCTTTTACGGCCACCAAACGCAAAAACAATGGTCAAAAAGGACAATGATTAACTTGCATGATATTCTAAACGAGTGGGTGTTTTTTTGTTCAAAATCAAGTGTACAATAATTCAGTAAGCAGCTTTTCTTTATCGTACCAAAGCATTTTTCGTCCCAGAAAGGCCAAATAATGCTCAAGGTGATAAAAGAATTGCACGTTCTACTTGCCCAGACAGTAACCAAAGCTGTGAAAGAATCACATTCAGAGGTGATCAGCTCAGCTCACTGAGAACTTGCCAGGGTTACAACAATAGTATATGAACAATGCTATTCGACACTCGCGGTGATAGAAAATGGGTCCTCAATTCCTATTATTATTATTAATAGCGATGTTTAATACTGATAGTGTCCTAAATATCTTCCATAGTATATACCAATCCCTTTACGGTACTCATCTATAAATTGCAAACAATATGAGTATTCTCTTTTGACAAACATGAGAAAAGAATAAAGTGGGGCTGTTGAAAGCTCATATTAAAAGCAGATAGTATCCAGAAAAAAATGATTATCAAACCAAGAATAAAAATGTCCAACACCCAAAAACAGATATCATCAGCCCTTTATATGACAGTCTAAAAAATGAGGGTGGTTTAGCTATATGTAAAATTCTAGATTGATCGTCTTTCAAGCCAGATTGATTGGAAAAATTAAGCAATAATTGATCACCACACAAAGTACTGAGCAAAATAGTTTATGAATCATTTACCAAAAATACAACTTTCCTTTCTGATGGTGGTAATCATGGGAGATGGATATTGATGAGTACTTCTTCAAAGGACACAAAAATTGAGCTCTTACTGTGTATAAATAAATATTAAGTCCCACAATGGTTTAATTTAAACACAGTTACAAGGACACTGAAAGATCCGTAAAGTTTTTTTTTATAACTACAGTTGTAAATCCACAAATGATGTTTAATTCATGCCTGTGAAAATTCAAGTGACCGTCAAAGTATTAAACATATCTGAAACTGATAGATAAGAGTTAACAGTTATACATTCTCATCAGGTTCTTTCCCTTGGGTGTCAGAATATTCTTCTTATTCAACAATGGAAGCCTATGCAGAATCAATAAGAGAGACTCAATTAGAAAACATCAACAACAACAACAACAACTACCCGGATCTAATTCTCTTCTGACTAGTTTTTCCATCGGATCTTAAAGTCCCCGCCGATTCACCTTCCGACGAAACTTCCATCGACTTGGTGAAGGATGTTGAAAGATCAGCATAGAGATCCACCACCCTTCTGATATTGTTGTTAAGCTCTCTGATTAATCCCACGTTCCGGCTTAAGTTGTCTGGGATCTTAGACTCATGGTTCTGGTTAATCTCGTTAATTAGCAACCTGTTCTGGTCCAAAATGTCCTGGACTTGAACAAAGCTCTTCTGAAATGTCTGCACAACTTTACCATCTACTTGGGTTCCATTTCCTATGCCTGTAAAGATACTACCTTCCATTTCTCAATTCTACCTTCAATCAAAACCCCTCTTTATCCTGCAAGAGAAACACTACAAATCATGAAAGCGAAAAGGAAAAAAGAAGGGAAAAAAAAAAAAGAGGAAAGAGCTTTACTAAAACTGGAATCTAATCACTACCCACATGTTGATCTATCACTACTTTAACAAAGAAAATCATGACTCAAGCAGCAACAAACATGTAGGAGAGAAAATAAAGTTTCAAATTATAATAAGTATTTTTTTTTTTGTTTTTTGGTTACCTGGGACAAGATTTGCACAAGGCAATATTCCTTTATGCCTAAGTCGTATTGCATTTCAATTAGGATTGCTCTTTTATTTATTTATTTTTTTTTTCTATCTCCTTTCCTTCCGTATTCTTAGCAACCAAACAAGACGCTAGGAAACGTGTACATCAGAGACAATGTACAAGGAGAGAAAAAATCAGACATGGGAATTGTTCTGACGTGAAAGAAGACCCCTTTTAACTTGAAAAGAGGACTTTTTTTTTTTTTTTTTAACATTCTGTGTGTTCTCCAAATTGGCAAGTGCCAAGTCTTGATTTTTAATTTCTGAGAGCACAAAAGGAATCTCAACAAGAGTTTACCCTTAGAACCAGTCAATGCTAGCCAAAAAATAAAGGACCGACAAGAGTCATTTCTCAGACGATAAAAATTCGATCAGACCAAGTCAAAAAAAAAAAAAAAGCCCCCCAAAAAACCCCTCTTTGGTGGCAGAAGACTCTGTTTTGATTCCGCCTTGATAAAAATATTGAAGAAATTTAAAAAAAAAAAGAGAGTAATAATTTTATAATTAACATGAAAATAACAGATTTTCCATAAATTAAAATAGATACAGTGTCAATTACGAAACAAAGAAACTAATGGATAATCATTACAAAGGAGAATTGAAACATACAAGTTATCAATTGAAAATACAATCGAATTTAGGGGAAAAGAAAAGAAAAATTTTGAATTTATCACGCATTTGGTTTTGTTTGTCTCACCTTGAAGATACGGAAGAACATGGTGGACGACTTTGAAAGAAATCTTTTACAAGGAGGGGAAAAGGAGGAGAATTTTCTCAGGAGAAAAAAGAACATGAATTTTCTCGAGAAAGCTTTAGGGGGGAGAGAAAAAAATTAAAATCTACATATACGCTGCTGGCTGGGACTGGGAGGCCCAGAAATCATGAAGGACACATGGACCAGAGGAGATGGGAGTTTGTATGAGATTTGATTGATAGCGGACTCTCTCTCTCTCTCTCTCTCTCTCTCTACTCCTTTTCTCTCTCTCTCTCTCTTACCTAGTTGTCCTCGTTTACTTCGCCTGCAGTACTTTTGCTTTCATTCATTTCATTGTCTTTATGAGAGAGGAAATACATTATACTCTGTACCACGAGATATGGTCGCGTGTGGATGCAACGGATATCTCATTCATCTATTTTGTTTTTTTCCTTCTCTTTTTAAATTTCGAATAAATAGGGTGCATTCTACTCCAAAAATAAATAAATAAATAGGATGTATTTATTATGAGAGAGATTGTAATATGTCTTAATTAAGATCATAAATTATTTGAATATTAAAATATAAAAATTCGTGTTAAAGGGACTTCAAAAGTTGTAGCAGAAAAATTGCTTTGATTCGGCTAAACCGGCTGCAGCCGAAATATTTGCATGTCTCGGGTTTGTTTGTGGCTGCAAAGGGAAAACATCCGCTGCAGCGAAAATTATGCAGAAAATAATGTTTTCATGAGTTTATGTGATCTAAAACGTTTCAAACCATTACATCCACTGGTGATATGTTTTCATACATATCTGAACGCCAATTAGCAATAGATATAACTATTGTAATAGGTGTATTAATCCATGAAAAGATACTTTTACATTGAAAATGTACCTTTATGTGAATGGTTGTAATGTTTAAGGAGAATGCATTCATTCATGAAATGACACATGTGTCTTTATTAATTCTTCAGAAAATTTACAGACTTAATTCATGTTCTGAAACTCAATATTAATGCTAGATATTATGTTCAAGGATTTCTTGTATCTTGGGGGTAATTTACCATTAAAACTCATTAGCAAACTCTGAGAAGTGAGGGCAAATAAAACTTTAAAGGAAAGTATTCATATACACATCAAACCCTATCTTGTTTCTGTATTCTTTTCATCATCTACTCTCAAATTTCTCCAACAATCTTTAAGATTTTAACTTGCTCGAATAGAGGTTGAAAAGAACATGACGTCTTTCCTCAGTCTGAATGTCTAACTTAATATATTTGACGATACCAATTTCACCCGCCGGAAAAAAAAGTATTTCTATACGCCTCAAACTCTGTCTTATTTTTGCATTCTTTTCATCATCTACTCTCAAATTTCTCCAACAATATTTATGATAGAGAATACTATTTAGTTTTATCTATGTGAATTATATTTGATCTGTTAGATTAATTTTTTTACAGCCTATTGACCGTTCGAAGTAGAGTAATTATGTGTCATAAGTTTGAAAATTTACAACCTTTAAAAAATTAATTTAACGATTAAAAACAATAATTCTTATTGATATAGCACAATAGCCTTTTCACCATAAATATTCTCAAGTAATAATAAAAAATCTCGCTTATCTTTTTATAGATTGTTTTTTGGTCCTTCTTCTTTTTTTGTTTTTGTTTTTTTGTTTTTGTTTTCCTTTGTTTCTTCTGTGTAAGGAGATTATCATAATAAGGCTTAAAAAAAGAAACTATCGATACATTTTTGTTTTAAATAATCATATCAATATAAAAAATTTTATATACTTTTTTATTTCAATAGTGTTAGAGTCACAAACTCTAATCCCAACTATTATGTACCAATTTTGGGGCATATAAATGTTGTTATTATTAATTAACATGATAATCTTTTAAACAACTATCAATAAAAGAATAACAATCACATGTCATGTAAGTTGATATAAAAATATTGAGATTAAAATTAGTGTTTTTAACATAATTATTTTTATTTTAATGTAGTTTTCACTTGATTCAGAGGTTAAAAACTTACAATACCTATTGAAAAAAAATTACAATACCGATAGGAACTGTCATTTTATTTATAATAATCTCAACTGTCTATTTGAAAAAAAAAATCTCACTTGTCAGTTGTCCTTTTATAAATTGGCATCTATTTCTTAAAATACAAATAAGAGACAACGGCTTAAAATGTTGATTAAAACTAAAAGGGGACTTGCTAAAAAGAAATATAAAAAGACATATCGTACGTATTTAGAACGGTTTTTAAAAATAATTTTCACGTATTTCGATAAGTAAAAAATAAAAATAAAAATAAAACAACGTGTGTTTAGTAAATATTTTGAAAACAAAAATGAAACCGAAAGCAGTGACAATGGTTTTTGTGAATAAATTAGAAAGGGTGCATTTAGTTTCGTTTCTAAAACGTTTTTCAAGGAGGAAAAAATGAAATTGAAAACACAACGGCGTTTTGTTTAAGAAATGTTTTGAAAACGAAAACGAAAATAGTGAAAATAATTTTTGTGAAGGAATTTAAAAAATAGTTGAAAATTATTTTCACTCTTATGTTTTCATTTTTTAATACTTATCAACAATATTATAATATATTAATTAATAATTATAATTAAACACGATTTCATTCTTTTATTATACTCAAAACAATCTTTTAAAAAACCAACCAAACATAATTTTAAAATCATTTTTAAAATTATTCTCCAAACAATCTCATTTTTATTTTTTATTGAAAATAAAATCATTTTGAAACTAATTCTAAACGCACCAAAAACAGTTGAAAGTTATTTTCACTTTTTTATTTTTATTTTTTAGTACTTATCAATAATATTATAATATATTAATAAATAAACACAATTTCACTTTTTTATTATAATCAAAACAATTTGTTAAAAAACTAACTAAACGTAATTTCAGAATCAATCCTAGAATGATTTTCAAAACAATCTCATTTTTAGTTTTTGTTGAAAATAAAATCATTATAAAAAAAATTATAATCGCACCTATATCGCGGTAAAAATGTACGGCAAAATTTAGATGTAGTTTTTGAACAAACGACAGCAAACTTAACTTGGACGACAACAATGATTCAAAAGCGAAATGTCGTGATTTTAATTAGATTATGAAATTGGAGCGACACGTCGTTTTTATCATCACACAACAGCAAAAGTTGGACGAATAACGGCATGTCATTTTGGATAAACGACGACAAAACTTAAAGATGAAAACGACATGTAGTTTGCTCTTTAAAACAATAAAAATAAAAATTAATTCTAAATTGGAAGACGACATAAACTTTTCATAAAATGACGTGAACGGGAGATGATAAATTACATTTCATATTCATCCTCGTCCTAAACGATAAAAACACATTTACGTATCGTGTCCCAGACCCAACCGACCCACATCGTATCTCTAGCAAAAAGAAACGACATCATTTGCCACATAAACGACATGAACATGTCGTTTTTCCCAAAACGACTCCAAACTACCCAAGGAAAACTTCGCTCCCGTTCCCAAACACCCCCAGACTCTCCGTTTCCTTCCCTACCAAACTCTTCCGCGGAAAAAAAAAAAAGCGGTAAATTACAGTCCGTCTCCTCTTCACCGAAGGACATGCCCGTATTCCCTAACGCATGGACTCCATAATCTCCTCGGCGCTCGAAGAAATCTGCTCCCATGGCGACGCCGGCGTCTCTCTTCGCGCTCTCTGGTCCACTATCAAGCCCTCACTCGCCGCCTCCAGCCTCGACCTCTCCCCGGGCGTGAAGCAAGCCCTGTGGACTGGCCTACTTGGCGTTCCCGCGCTCCGGTTCCATGGTCAAAGCGCCACTTTCGTCGCCTCCGATAATTCCGTGCAGTCCTTCGAAGCCGCCGAGAATCTGAACGTCAAGCTCGTCGCCGAAGAGCGTCTCAGGGACAACTTTCTTGGCCTCTACAACGCCCCCCCCGCCAATGCCGCCATTCCTTTGCCCCAGCGGCGCGCTCTCCAGCGCCTCGCTGTTGCTCGGTACGATTCTGTTTTGCTGCAATTTGATTTGTTGTGCTCGTAGTCGAGATTCCGAATTTCGGATTATAAAAAGCCGTCAGTATAATTTGAGAAGCTAGCCTTTTGGAAGTTTGGATAATTAATTATGATTGTGAAGTTAACAGGTGTTTAATAAGTTGTTGATGATGAAGCCATAGACAGGAATTTGCATGAATTAGGGAATTTTAATGGTATTTTTCCTTTGGTGTAAAATTCTTGTTAATTGAACTGTAAGTGTTATATGAAACAAGATTTGATATTATATTATTTTATTTTGTTATTATGGGAAACAAGCTTTGAGAATTGTTTTTCTTGCAGAAAATATGGAATTACACAAAACCATCTAGCCAAAGAGTTTGGTATTGAAGGAAAAAACTTGTTCTATATATTGAGGAACCTTGAATGTCAGGGGTTAATTGTGAGGCAATCTGCGGTTGTGAAGACGAAAGATGCCTGTGAAGAAGGGGAATCAAGAAATAGTGCGAGTGTGACAACCAATTTAGTGTACTTATCTCGCTATGCAAAGCATTTGGGCTCTCAACAAAAATTTGAGATCACCAAGGAAGAACAATCTACTGAGAGTCTCGGTAATGTAAAGGGACGTGCTGTAAGTGGAGATTGTTTGGGAGGCAAAAAAATAAAAGAGGATGTGCTGGTGAAGGATTATCTTCCAGCCATGAAGGCAGTCTGTAATAAACTTGAAAATGCAAAGGGCAAGGTCAATATTGTTGTTAGTATTTTGAAGTTTAGTGTGCTGGTTTTCCTCCCTGATTATGAGGCTGATTGTTTTCATGATATTTCTATTGAAGGTTCTAGTCATTTCGGATATTAAAAAAGATTTGGGTTATATTGGATCTTCTTCTGGACATAGAGAATGGAGACAGGTAAATGATTTTGCTATTACATTTTAAAGTCTTGAACCTGGATTGACCTATTCTCTAAGTTGGTTATTACTGATTTTTCTAATTGGAATTTATGCTGCTAGGTTTTGTCCAGATTGAAAGATGCCCATATTGTGGAGGAGTTTGTCGCTGAAGTGAATGAGAAGGTTTCCCTAAAGAAAAAAAAAGTGAATGAGAAGGTTATCTGAAAATGTTTTTGATTTTATTGTTGTATTGGCCACAGTTTTCACTAATTTCTTTACTCAAAATTAATTAGAACAATTTTTTTTTCCGGTAAAAGAAATATCACTGTCAATTTATGCTTCTCTTTTCTCCTTTTTTTTTTTTTTTATACATATTTGATAGGAAATGAAAATTTCATTAATAAAAGAAAGCTGTACAAAAGATCTGGATGAATGAGAGATCCACCCTAAGATTACCATAAACAAAACCAAAACAGAAAGATTATAATACCAAAAACTAACAACAGCCTTCACTCATAAAAATCAAGCAAAACCAGAAAACACCAGAATAGACTAAACCAGAAAATCTTCCCAACTAAGCAATATCAAAGATAATGGAAAATCCTTAAAAGATTTATCTGTAGAAGCCCAGAGAGAAGCCAGAAGTTTTGCCTTCTCGAATAAATACTCTAAAAGCATCTCCTTCTCTTCAAAGATCCTCTGATTTCTCTCAAGCCAAACCACCCATAGCGTGGCTAAAACCATGGCTTTCCACATCTTTCCTCCCTTAATAGTGCCTTTTTCTTGGGAGAATTTAAAAACATTTCCTGGGTTTTGCCTTAGTTGAACATTTACCATTGTGCTTTATTCAAAACTTATAGCTGATATTTTCAAGATGTCAAAGAAAAAAAAAAAAAAACCTGGATCAAATTTCTTGGGTTAAATAGAGGGATAAAGTGTGAAGTTTGTAAGAAAAAGAAAAAAAAAGATATAAGTTTAGAATTTCTCGAAACATGATGGAAAATGTCGAATAAGGAAAAATACACGGGATAGTTTTAGAATACTAGCTGAATACTAGTTTGTTATCTCTGTTTCCCTTTCAGTAAAGCTTACAAGCTGCAGAGTTACTATTTAAGATGTAACAAGTTCACGATTAAAGTGTTAACTATTGCTACTGTTACATTGGATATTGATATGATAACTAGTAATTTATTTTGGTGCTTTTGGTTATGTATTCGTTATAATGGGTTTTATGTTCAAGAACAAGGTCTAATCATGTTAGTCCATAGGTCGTGACTTGATTTTTCTTGTGCACTTTTGGCAGGTTGAATATTGCCTGCGTCTATTAAAGACTTTTTCTCCCCAGGCTTTTGGATGTGTAGATGATATTGGTGACGAACAGATAAAGTTTGGAAGGAAATGTCGTTCCAGTGATCAGCTTATGGAACTCCCCATTGAGCATCAGATATATGACATGATTGATGTTGCTGGTTCTGAGGGCTTGACTGTGATGGAGGTAGGTGCACTAATTTCTTGTCTTTGCTTTAATATATTAGGTGCTACTCCAAACGCCTGGTACTTTTTTTTTGTTTAATTTCTTCTCTCTATTGATGCTGCTGTCGGTTTTTGATTTCCAAATTTGTGTTCTAACTCATATATTCAGGGTTTTCCACTGATGTAATAGTTCTTATCATCAGTAAAAGTTGACTTTGTCATATGTAAATCTCAATGTATGTATTACCATGTATCATCACATATGAAATAAATATCTTAACGAGACCTTCCTAATACCGATCTAGCTTTTTGACATTTCTTGATTTTGTTTAAAGATTTCTTAATCTCTTGACATTGTACCTTAGTTGTTTGCTCCACGAGAAACCAATGAATATGCTTCCTTTGGGATGCCGTAATCTAAGTATGGGAAATATTAACTCGCTAGTGCTACAATATTAACTTGCAGAGTTTGGTCACCAGGGATAAAGTAATTAAATGCAAACATAAAGGAGGTCTGTGAGTTGGTAATTTAAAGTTGAGAATTTAGCACTTTTAGGCAAATGGTTCTGGAGATTTCTGTTAGAACAACATTCCTTGTTGGCAACGGTTATCAAGATAAGTACGGTTTCAACCCGAATAGTTCGGATTCAAATCTTGTGATTAGAAATTCTTTTGGGAATCCGTGGAAGTTTATTTCTCAAGGGTTAAATGTTTTCCTTCAAAGAAACTAAATGGGTTTTGGGAATGGGAAACAAAATTATCTTTTGGAAAGATGTGTGGTGTTGGGACCAATCTGTTGAGATTTCTTTCACTCTCTTTTTTAGGTCAAACAAGCATTATGTGTCTATTATGGACGTCTATTATTTTTTTCATAATAATCTGCTCGATTGGAATCTTGGCTTTAGAAGAAATCTCAATGATATAAAGATGGAGTTGAATTCTGATACGGTCCCACCCTTGAAAACCTATTCTAGGAAGCAGTGGAGATCACATGATAAGGAGCATATGTCATTTGACCAATTCCAAGTGGTGGAGATCACGTGATAAGGAGCATATGTCATCTGAGGTGGGCCATGCTCTGATACCAATTGTTATAACCCTTGGGGAGAACTCATCCCTAAAAGCTAGCTTGTAGGGAGAGGGTGCCCAAGTGGTTATAAACCCACATACTAAGCCCATACTTTAGCAATGTGGGACTGAACCAGGATCTTAACAGAGGATATGGTTGGCTTTGGTTCCAATAAAATGGCCAGAGTTCTTTGGAGATGCATGGTAATTTCATTGCTCTGGATGATTTGGATGGAATAGATTTGATGGTTTTCGAAGATGAGGAGTTGGAGGTGACAGATTTACTTGAGAAGGCAAAATCTCAGCTTCTTAGTTGGCATCGATGGATAAAGCTTTTAAGAGTTGCCTTTTTCCTTGATAGTTCTTAATTGGAAGGATGTGTTAGGTGTTTAAAGTGTTATATGTCTCCTTTGCTTTAGTCTCTTGTTTTCTTCTGTTTTAGAGGATAGCTTATCCTTTTTCCTTTGTGTTTGATTTAATTGTCAGTATTGGATAATTTTAGGTTTTTCCCCCTTCCAAATTTTTAACGTGCATATAGATGAACTATGCATTTCTACTGTTGATCCTTTTTTTCTTGTTTCTTTTTTTTTTAATAATCAGATTTGCAAGAGACTTGGGATTGACAATAAGAAGAACCATAACCGGCTTGTCAGTATGTTCTCCAGGTTTGGAATGGATCTGCAGGCAGAAAACCACAAGAAATGTGTGGCATATCGAGTTTGGACGCCTGGGCGACGCAATCCTGAATCAGCTAATGCATTTTCTAATAAACCAAACGTAGCCAATGATGATAGAATTTCCACCGGGATTTTTGATAAGCTAGATGCTCTTGACAGGCCGTCTAATAACTATCCAGAGTCTGATCCTTCAAATTTGACTGGTGGTATTGATACTCCCAAAAAGATGAAAAGTAGCGAAACTAATACTGAGATTTCAAGTGGATCCTCTAAGGATACTGAGGCCAACCTTTTAAGTAACAATTCACAAGTGACGCTCCTTGAATCGAGAGATGAGGGTGGACTTGACATAGTGAGTGCGGAAATGGGAAGGAACATTGTTCTATTGGAGACACCACCAGTTGCATTGAAGCCTTTTAGTTCTGGATCACATCGGAGGCATCCATCTTTGACTGTGGACAGTATGAGAAGGGAGAAAAAGTTACTTGAACGGTTGCAGGTTTGTTCCATGAAACACTATGTTGGGGACTTTTTGATTGAAATAAGTATTTTTTTTCCCTTGATCTACTATTCTATGATTTTAAAAGCAAAACAGTGTTTTTTTTTTCCTCTTTATCTAGAATGAGAAGTTCATCTTGATACCAGAGCTACATAAGTGGCTAGTGAGTGTTGAGAAAGACAAATCCACCACTACAGACAGGAAAACTATTTTTCGGCTTCTAAACAAACTTCAGCAGCAACAGCTCTGCAAATGCATGCAAATCAATGTTCCTGGTGTCACAAATTATGGTGGTAGCCGAATGTTTCATGTGGTTCTACACCCATCTGAAAGCTTATCTCCTGAACTAGTTTCTGAAATTTATGACCGACTTAGGTCTTTTGAGATCCAAAGTCGCGGGCAGTGCTCGTCTCGGTCAAAGAACAATGACTCAGTTCCTGTACTGAAAGGTGTTGAGAGAACTAAGATTCATGTCAAGTCCGATGTCCAAGCCATTAGATCAGAAGCCATGCGTGCTAACGGTTTTATCTTGGCAAAAATGATTCGTGCAAAGCTGCTACATGGTTTCTTGTGGGAGAACCTTTATGGTTCTGAAGGTTCTAATGGCGCTTCATCATCTAAAAAAGTCGTGTTCGAGCTGAGCAATCCTCACAGCAGTAGCAAATTGTTCTCTCTGGAGGCAGCAATTAAGGCCATTCCCATTGAGCTGTTCTTACAAGTTGTTGGATCTACTCAAAAGTTTAGTGATATGATTGAGAAGTGCAAGAGAGGATTGTGTCTCTCTGATCTTTCGGTTCAAGAGTACAAGTCTTTGATGGATGCTCATGCAACTGGAAGGCTCTCAATGCTTGTTGACATTTTGCGACGGTTAAAGGTATAGTTATTCGTTGGTTGTAACATAGGTTCGTCTTGTATCTGTGTGTATATCCTATTATCCACAATGTTTGCAATGTCTCATCTGTTTATCCATATCTTGTAACATTTGCAAACTTTGAGCAGGTCCGTATATTTTTATGTTGATTACTTTTTAAACTGTGAATTTAGCCGGAGCCAGGAAAGGGTTTAGTGTGCTTTTATGTTCTTTATATGCTGTCATGCTTAACAACTAATTGTTAATGCAGTTGCTTCGGATGGTAAGTGGTGAGTGTGCAAAAGATGGATCCCAACTTTTGCAAGCAACCTTTACACATGCAATGGAGCTAAAGCCTTATATTGAGGAACCAATTTCGAAAGCTGCAATCTCTTTGAGTTTTAGACTTCTTGATCTCCGCCCACGAATTAGACATGATTTTGTCCTCTCGAATAGAAAAGCTGTTGATGAGTATTGGCAAACTTTAGAATATTGTTATGCAGCTGCTGATCCAAGAGCAGCTTTACACGCGTTCCCTGGATCTGCTGTTCATGAAGTACGCAATAAAGCAACATTTTTCTTTTTGTTTATACGCATTTCTGGAACTGCTTACACGCATTCCTGTGATCTTCTGTTCATGCTCTTCCAACCCACTGGGTGCTTTAAAATTGTGTTCTGTTTCATCTGGATTATAGCTTTTAGATTTCTTTTTTCCCTTTAAGAACCTATCAAAGGGACTGGCCAGGATTTTGGTAGAATTGTGAATTCTGTATCATTAAGATTATTTTTACCCATCCTTAACAGGTATTTCTTTTCCGGTCATGGGCTTCTGTTCGAGTTATGACGGCTGATCAGCGGGCTGAGCTCTCGAAGCGTGTGATGAAGGACGATCAAAGTGGAAAACTTTCATTTAAGGATTGCGGCAAGATCGCAAAGGATCTCAATTTGTCTTTAGAACAGGTCAGTTCCAGTTTAATTTATTTAGATCAATTTGTCTTTTCTGTTTTTAATGCCAAGTTAACATGTAACTGTTTGATTGATATGGGGCGTTCACGGTCGGTTTGAAAGGAAAGACCAATATGCAACCCAAAAACATTAACTGATATTTGGTTAATTTGAATTTTGAAGGGAAATCAAGCCGAACCATACATACTCCATTTAGTCAATTTGACCTTTTCTGGATGCACATGCTTATCTCTTTAATTGAATTTTCAGGTGCTTCGCGTCTATTATGATAAGCGCCAATCACGTCTTAATAAATTTCCTAGTGAAAGGGATGACTTCCAAACATTAAGGAGTAACCGTATTTCATCTTTACGGATAAGGGAAAGATCTCCTGAAATGAGGTCAGTGAAGTTCAGAAAAGTTGATGAGGTAACTGGACAGTTGGGCAAGCAGAGTTGTGGCACATCACCAGATACCAAGGACTCATTCATGGAAGGAGAACTTTTAGTCCCTCCAGAAAAGCATGAGATGGATTTGCAAGCGTTTCAGGAGGATGATCATCTAGAAAATGGCGGGAATGCTGAACCAAATGAAGATGATGAGGATTGTTATTCTGCTTTTTCGAGGATGAAGCCAGCACGTCAAAGAAGGTTTTCATGGACAGAGGAAGCTGATAGGTAAAGCATGTTATATGATATTTTGTATTATGGGAAAAATCTTCAAAATTACCGGTGTAGTGAATAGCAGAAAAAGGGCACGGGGTAATTCTGGGATCCTTTGACATGGGTGCATACTTGTAATTCACTGCTGTGTTTGGCTTAGGACTGATGCATGAACTTTACCATTTTCTTTCCCCTCTCTGGAAACATAAAATAATACGTGTTAATGATATAGATTATGTTGGCAAAAGGTTACATTAAAAGATCTTTGGGTTGCTTTTATTTACCCTTTTATTTTTATTTTTATTTTTATAATGAACAAAACCTTTATTGATAGCAAAATTTAATCAATACAAGGAAAAGAGGATGGAGATCCTCAAAAACGGACGGGTTGCTTTTATTTACGTATTAGAAAGGGATTAGAAAAGGATAAACTATAGGGGATGTAAGAATCCTTTTTTCCCCTTAAATACCTTCCCCTATTTTGGTACCTTTACCATGTACCTTAGATGCAGCTGGTGAAGTATATTTCCTATATTTTGAGCAGCAAATTTCTCCATGGAGAAGAAACCAAATGATGCTCTGTTCTTTCAATATGTCGATTAAGGATTTGGTAGTTAGGATTTTTTGTATTTGAATTTGAATAAAACAGAAGATAAGGGTTTATCATTAGAGATAAGTTCTTCTAGGATTTGAGCTTATCATTATTTAGGGTAGTTCCTATTTTTTTAGGAAGGTTGAGATTCTATCTTTAGCCTATTTAACCTGTAATGTTTTTGATTATTAATGAATAAGAGAGAAAAAAAGGTTCTCTCTAGAAAGTTTACATGTTTTCTTTTACTTTCGTGCATGTTTATTTTCCAGGCAAATGGTGATCCAATATTCTAGATATCGTGCTGCACTTGGGGCGAAATATCACCGCACCGATTGGGCTTCAATTCCCAACCTTCCAGCACCTCGAAGTCCCTGCAAGAAAAGAATGGCATTACTAAATAAGAATGTAAGATTCAGAGAAGCTTTAATGAGGCTTTGTAACATTCTCAGTGCACGATATGTAAAGTTCCTCGAGAAGATGGAGAACAAGCTGCTTGAAAAAGATGATTGCAAATCGGGTGAAGGTATTGATACAAATTCTGATGATAGCGGCAAACATACTAGAGAGACATGTTCTGAGGAGGGGCCATGGGATGATTTTGATAATGATAGCATTAAAGTCGCCCTTGATGAGGTTCTCCGGTGCAAATGGATGGCTAAACTGGATGCATCAAAAAGAGTAGGGTCTACCTATGAGGAGTGGTCTGATCTAAATATTGATGCTGAGAAACACGTAAATTTCCTACCTCTTACACTCTTTTCATGCTTTTTGAGTATTTCAGCAACTGATTGACTGTAACATTTGGCATTGCTTGCACGGATTTCAGGATTCTGAATTAGCTGCAACAATTTCTAGTTCTGGCGATGTTCAAAACCTTGATGGAAAACAACAGAAACTTCCCATACGTAGATCACGGGCTCAACGCCTTCATAAAAAGTTCATTAATCTTTTGAATGAAGAAGTTAAAGTCAGC